AAGCATAACATAGTTAATAGTAGTAGATAATGAATTGTATATAACATCATATTAATATTGTTTTTTTTTCAAAAAAAAAACAGATCTACCAATTAAACAATGGGATTGGATTATTGTTCAAAGCATTAATGGTGGTGGTAATAATTATGGCTTATTGTTAACGTGGTAAGTAATAATATATTATTAATAATATTTATTGTATAACATTGTATTAACAGGTTTATTATTATGGTTTATTGCTATTATTATGTACGCGACCATCAAGGTAAGTAATAATATACATATAATTTATTGTATACATATATAACATTATATTAACGGGTTTATTTATTATTGTGCACACGACCATCAAGGTAAGTAATAATATATTACTAATAATATTAATAATAATAATTTATTGTATACATATATTACATTGTATTAACGGGTTTATTTATTATTATGCACGTGACCGTCAAGGTACATATAATATATTACTAATAATTCTTATTGCATCAACGGGGTTTATTACGGTTTATTGTTACGCGTGGTAAGTAATAATATATTATTAATAATAATTCTTATTAAATATATAACATTGTATTAATATTTCTTTTTTTTCACTATTATTGTTACGCACGTGATCATCAAAGCAGTAAGTAATATATTATTATTTAACAATTTTTATTATATATATAACATTGTATTAATATTTCTTTCTTCCAAAATGGATTCATAGTTAAACAATGGGTTATTTTCATACAGCAGTTAAAGAAAAAAATTAGTTATTATTTTATTATTATTATCATCATCATTATTTATTGCCATGTATAAAATTTAAAAAAATAAATTAAGTTTCTTTTGCCAACTGTATATTTATTATAAAAATAAAAATAAATTCTGTGTAAAAAAAATGAAGTTGTCATTATATTATTTTCGTGTGTTAGAAATTTTTATAGAAAACCCCTAGAAAATTCTGATACTATATAAGGCGGGATCATCACACATCCATTTATGGTATAATCTCAGACTGTAACAGGAGAGACCGTTCTGGGAACACAAAATTAACAGGAGGGAACACAAAATTTTAACCCATGCCATTTGTTGATTGACCAATTAAAATCACGAATTTGATATATGTGGAAATAAATATGGGTTTGATTCATTTTGTCAACAATCGCTTCACCAACAATTGTTTCGTTAACAAATTTAAGAAGTTGGAAGCAAACATTGAATAGTCTAATAAATTAAATTGTACTACTCGAAAATGTATTTAAAGGGTTGGTTTTTACTTGGTTGAAGAATAACTCTCTTCCTAACTCTTCTCTTGACCATATCTCTCAATATAACCAAAATAACCTTAATATAATGAATGTCAATGAAATGATTGTAAACACAACAAATCTAAGATACATGATTGTGATGAAAAATGAACAATGTATGAAAAATCAATCAAATTTATTTAATAAAAACAAAATTTACAACCCATAAAATTTTTTTGTTCTAATAAAATTTCCATTGTTGCTGTCAT